CAGTAGTTAGAACATAACACATGAGATGATATTTATGAAATAAGGCAAATATTATCTCCTGTCAATGAGGGGAGGAAAAGCTGAAGTTATCCTATTCACTATAAATTAAAATCCAAACCATTACTGAGTTACAAACATCTGCTGCAGTTGTTCCTCTGTAAACATCACTACTATGGAGGTCTAAAAACATGTGAAAATCAAACAAGACAGAAGGAAAAAGACTAAGAAAAAAAGAAATCCAGTCTTAAAAAGAACCGCTTGAAAGGTCTGAGTGTGCAGATCCCAAACAAGGCCCATGGACAGTTACGGGTGAATGACATTTTGTGTTTGGAGCAGAGGTTTTAACAGCTGTAACACATGAGCAGGCTCACAGGGAAACCAGAGGCACCAGCATGTGTTAAAAATAAGCATTTGGAAGTGGAAGGCTTGTTATTTTATGGGGAAAAAGGGGGGGAGCTGACAGGTACTTTTCACAGCTCCTTTTCCCACACATGTGCATAATGTGGGGTCAACCAGAATTATGTGTACACTGGGAAAACTCTTCCCATTCCACCTGCAGGCTGTCTGTGATGGGCAGGTTAAGTGAGCTGGCAGGAAAAAAAGAAGAGAAAGCCATCTGCACTACATCTGAAGCAGGGCAGGTTTTCCTTGCCCTCCGTTCCCAGCTGCGTTAACCCTACAGGTGGTTATTTTCCAGACCACAATGACTGGAACAATAACACAGTGATACACTTTTTAAAGGGATGGAGGAAAGAAATGCTTGCTCACATAGTCCCAAACACAGAGAGGCATCCTGTAATGCCAGTCTGAGATAACTGGCAATTTAATCACAGCCTCTTTAGAGACACCTAATTAATTCAGTTACACCGCACTGTAATTCATTCAAGGCGCTTCAAAGCAAATGCAAGCTGTGCCTTACCCAAAAATAGGCACTGAAGCAGAAGAATAGGAACAGGAAGATACAGGAAAGACAAGCAGCTTGTAAACAGCAAAATCTCCAGATTCCTGGTGGCAGTTTGCTGTTTGTGGGGACAAGTCACAGCTGCAGCAGAGAACAAACAGGCTGCTCCATGTGATCCAGCTGTTAGACCCACTGGGGATTAAAAGTAAACTTCCTCCTCTGTTCTGTCATTGTCATATCCAAGATACAAAGGAAGATAAGAGGAAGGGAGGAGAAGGACAGAGTCAGGCCACAGTGTGACAAAGTATTGGAGAAAAAAAGCAAAAGCAGAGGAATTGAACAATAGTGTTTGGACAAATGCTTCATGCTTTAGTGTCTATACATTAAACAAGATTTACTGCTATTTCCTTTTCTCTCTCTGACATCTACAGCCTAATCATTCCAACAGCTGTAAAAATAGGGACTAAAAGAGCAGTCTTCAAACTGGGAACTGGGACCAAGGCCAATGGCTGGACAAAACCAGTGTCACAGCAAACCTTCCTTTGTAAAAACACAAACCCAAAAATAACAGAGAGAGAGAAAGAAAAATTCTCACAGTTGAACTCCCAAAAGGTAACCAGCTCATGAGCAGCAGCCCAGCTTCTCATTTTACACCCCTCTCTTTTCAACAACAAAGACAGCAAAAGCTGCAAAACTGTGATTGCAAGAGTTCTTCTTTCTCATTAACTTTCCTTATTTTTTCTTCTTCTTTCTCATCCTTCCCTTCCCCTCTGAAGGATCCCTGACCTCAGTGATGTATTGGTGTAGTAGACTCTGCCTGCAGTGAGTACCAAAGGGCACACTCAAAACAAACAGCATCTGCTGACTGCAGGGAAGAACACCCATGCTCTGTGCACACACCACAAGAGCCCAAACAGGCACAGCATGAGCCCTGAATTTTGAAGAGCCTGTTAGGAATTTCACAGTTTGCTTACTATCAAAATGAATCTCTTTTTCTTTTTTTACCCACTTGAGTCCTTCAGCTCCTTGAAAAAACAAACAACACCATTTTAATTCTCCAAGACTTCCAGCTCCAGCTTGAATCATCTAAAATAGAAGAAGCTCAGTCAGAGAAACCTGAGGATTCAAGCTCCTCTTTAGCCAGCAGCAAAAGTGGAGCTAAAAGACACCTAGAAACACAAGACACATGTATGTGCACTCAGAAAACACCAGGTAAGTACAACCAAACCAGCATTTTAAGGAACAGATGGATCAGTTGCTCAGCACTCACACTGCTGGCCTAGTAGCCCTGTTCTATTAATAAACATGGTACTCTGTACCTGCTGAAGTTCAAAATTTCAACTTTGGGTTCACTCTACCAAAAATGAACTGGATCTTTTTTCCCTCATCTAATTTCAGGCTGTTGGCGCAAAAGAGATGCGAAAAAATTTCCTGAAGAGAAACACCAGTGACGTTGTGTGACAACAGAAAAGTGTGCAAATACTGATTATAATCAGTACAGAAATGACAACCTAAGAAGGCAATCTAATTTATGACTTGAAAGAAAAACAATTTTGATACTTAGACTGCTTGTCAAAGTTGCTTTCAGTTATTTCAATTATTATTAGGCCATTTTTTATTATATATTAAAAAAAAACAACCTTGGAACTGACAATACCTGACTGCATGTAAGTGTAAATGAATTATTTGTAGCTAATATGTGATAATTTAACATAGTCATCAATACAGCAAAGAATTGTTTGAAAATGAGTATGTGAAGCAGGCAGTAAAAAAAAGCTATGTGAAGTACATTGAAGGCAGCTTTCCCCTGGGCAAGGCTCCTGTCAACAAGCAGTGAATATAGAAACAGCCAAAAAAATCTCCAAGAGCTCCTGCTTTGTATGCACACAGAGAACACTGCAGAGAACCTGTGACTTTCCTCAAATACCCTGAGCTAAACTTGGGGAAACCATCAATGCACTCCAAAAAAGAAATCTGTACAGCAACTTCCCCATCTGTTTGTTCTGTTTTGTCTTATACAACCTTAAAATTTAGTGCACATCTGGCTGTAAGAACTGCAGCCCAAAGACAGGCAGATGTGCAGGAGCCAGAACAACTTTCCATTCTAGCTCAAGCTCCTGATTCTATCTAACTCCACAGCTCAAAAAGAAAGCAATTATGCTCCCCCTTGAAATTTTTACATATTGAAAGGGCAAAATTTTAAGCAATAAGGCAAGACCCATTCAGTTCATTCAACTATTTGAAGTATTTAATAGAAAATTTCCTTATTCCTAATATAAAATTGCTCCCCTTTGTTGCCTTTTTCTGTCTTTTCACAGTGTATTTTTAATAAACCAGGAGTTTTTCAGTCCAACTCTCACTCATTCTGGTTAGTTCCTCATGTGAAATGGAAGTAAGGCAAAGGAGAACTAGAAGTACTAGAGACAAAATGAATACAATTTTAGGAGGAGTCATTCCATGTACATATTCTGAGATGCCACGGGTTCAGGCAAAGACTTATTTTACTTCGATGACAAACCTGAACCTTCTACAAGGCTGTTTTCTACTTCTGAAAGGTTTTCAAGAGGCAAGGTTGTGTTATTTGTTTTAAGTGAGGTCATAGAAGATACAGCAGAATTTCTAACAAGCATCAAAGCACAATTTTTTTCCAAAGAATAATGTAAGCCTTCTGGTCGAAGACAAAGTTGTAGCTGCTGCTTATTTTGAAAGGACAAGCAGTGGTGGATTAAAGTATTAAAAGGGTTTGGTTTTCTGCACTTGAGGTTTTACAGTTTATGGATAAAACAATTACCTTGCTTTGCAAAACTACTAGCATCAGGTTCCTCGCTTCCCTTAGTGGGAATCACAGATGGTCACTACTGATGAAAACAAGTCACACACACCTCCTTTTTAAAGTATTGAGTATCAACCATTTTTAGTTACTTCCTGTGAATATCTCCTGTTTATTTTGTATGAAAAGATTAGACAAACCAAAAGCAAATATAAATGACCCCCTCGATTTCCCTTGACAATAACCTAAAGGCTTGACACACCCTAACTACATGGCAGCGATGTGCCTTCAAGAGAGGCTGGTTCTCTAAAGAGTTGAAAGAAAGGGAAAGGTTGGTTCTCTAAAGAGTTGAAAGAAGAGTTGAAAGAGTCCCTAGAAAGGGAACTGCATGCCTTCAAAATGCTCTGGTTGAAGTAAAATGCAGCAGATGGTAAAATCCTAACTTCCTACTTAGTATTGTTCAAAGTTTCTGTCCAGAAATGTATAGCTGTCTGTGGGATTAGTGGTAGCTTCCTGCCTTTCCATAACTGCCCTCCACTTCCCTCTCTTGAAAGAATTAAACTGCTGACCCAGTAAAAAAGATGTGAGAGAGAATTCTGTTAACATCTAGTCCCAGTGTACAAAACTCAGTTCCCCTCGAAAGGTTTCCACAAATCTCATCACATTCAGAAACGAACACAAAGCCTCCTTATATAACTTGGCTTTGTCTGACTCATTTCTTTATAGATGAGTACATATTCATGCACTGACACAAGTCAAAATGCAACAAAAGAAAACTCTTCAAACTAAGATATGCCAAGACAAGAGGTGTGGTTAGTGTGTGGCCCTTCTCACTGGTGAGGCCAAGCCCAGACTCAGCCAATGCAATTTTCCCTTTCTATCACAGTTGTGCAGCTGCAGAGTTACCTGCTGCATCCCAGAGGGTAGCATTTAATCAGCCTAGTTAGTACAAAATGTATTTATGCAGTCTGACTGCTAGTGCCAAAGGCTTCACAGATTTATTTGCTAGCACTAGCTAGCAAGACAAAAAAGGCTGACAACTGGGAGTTTTACTGCTTTTTTCTTTTTCACAGCTTCGTTACTGTGTGTCTGTACAACAAATGCAACATGACACCTCATCGGTAACACACTGATAATTGCTTAAATACATTTTCAGAAATAGCCAAATAACCATGGGAAAGTAAAACACCAGAAACAAGATTCAAAGATTAACCTCTCATGCCCTAATTTAAGGATTATCTTTGGAAACAAAAAATACCACCAGAAATGAAACTAATGAGAGCAAAACCTTTACAAACAACAAAGGTAGAGATTTGTGAATAATCTTACTTGTAGTTTTTTTCCCAGAACTTGACTGGTCGTGCGTACGATGCGATGAAGATGACACTGCCCAGAAATGGACTGAGAGGTGTAGAAAAGACTGAAGCGGCCAGAGTTTGGAAAAAAAGCATAGCAGAGTCTGAAAACTGCAAGTTAAGGTAACATGGAAAGGGAGGAAGGCAGGCAGTGCCAAATCAGCCATTACCAGCATGTAGTCAGTGGCTCTTCAATGCTACAGTTTCATTATGGGGGTGACCCTGCCTAATCCCTGCCTGAGGACAGATGCTAGGCATAGGCAGTGCAGCAAACACCCTTTTCCAGCTACCTAAGCTACCTTCTGTAACATAAAAGTGCCTTTCCGGAGTCTCACACACAGTTTAAAACACACACACACATGAGGAAAAAACCAATCTCTGGAAAATTATTTGTTCTCCACACCAGAGTCTTGCTTTCACTGTGTCCAGTGTTCCATTCTGTGGGCTTCTGCTTTTTTTGGAACGACACTGTATGTGGAGAAACTATGCCTCTTTGATCCAACCTGCTGGTTCAAAGTCATGTTTTCACATTGATTCTTACTAAGAATTTACTATTCCAAAGCTAAAAAATGTTCAGCATTTCAGACTTTTTGAAATATATAAGAAGTGAGAAGGTGAGGACAGGGGAGTAGTAAGTATCACACATAAACATCATAATGAATGCCTGAATCCATAGTTTACTTCAAATGTAAAGTCATATTTCAGGTTGCTGGAAAGTAAGTTAGGAGATGGATAAGGATACTGAAAAAGATGCAAGTTAAAAGGAACATAAATAAATGCAACCAAATAAAACGTTAGGCTTAAATTCTTCATTAATTCATACCACATCCATGAAATTTTAGGAAAAATACTTTCAAACTGGCATAAGAGACCAGCTGTCATTCCTTACATCTCTCTTGGGAGGGAGGTGCAAAGTAAAGAAGCCATGAACTAAAGGAATCACTATCAATGGACAGTGATCAAGCACATTTCAATCTAAATTTCAGGTAAAATCATCCAATAACCAGAATTTTTCAGCTTACTCTCTTATAGCAAAATACTGTACATGTGTCCCACAATCCCTGAGACTTCACAAAAAGCCCACTTAAACAAAAGTAGCATCATTCTTGGTACAGCATTTCCATAAAACTGCTAGTTAGCCAGGCTTTAAAAGCCATTTGCAAAATCTAGAAACAAATATTTGCCAAAAAATACCTTTCAAATCTCTCAAACTTACTAAAAGACAGTGATCTGGAACAGTGTCTTTGTGCATTAGAGAGACTGAAAAATGAGCTGCCCTGAGAGTATAAAGTTTTAAAAAGTGGCACAGAGCAAAAAGCAAGTGCATCAGAAAAGTTGAACTGTCACATTACAGTGCAGTCATAACCAAGCACTGGCTGTGAAAGATGAACAAGTATTTACAAGTGTCAGATAAGGGAAGGAGGCATGGGAGCTGAAGAGAGGAAGAGAGAACAAAGAGGACAGATAAGGGTAGCAAACCAAGTTTTTTAAAGTTGGTACTAATGTAATGATTGATTTAAAAATTGCCACCATCATGAGCTGAGACATTTCGCACACCACTGTGAACTGTTTGTGTCTTAGACATTATCAGAAGCAACAGGGGTTTTTTATCAGGAGACATAATTCTCTACTAAATGGACAGTAGAAGACACTACCCATTTGATTTGTGAAAAGTGATTTTAACTGTTTCACATCTCTAAGCATGTCATGAGAGGAAGCGACAGCATTTGACTCTTACATACATGTAACAAGTGCAGTGGGCAATTATCTGTCACAGGGGTATTTTTATTTGAGGACATCTAATTTGTCTGTATTATGTCATTATTTATTTAGTTTAAATACCAATGCTTTAATTATGTCTAAATAAAAGTGTCAAAAACTTACAGGCATACTTTCTTCCACTGACCTTTAACCTGACCCAAGCGAGGTTTTCTGTGTACCATCTTTGTTAGGCTACATTGTCTGGAAGCAGAACTTGTTTCTTTGTGAATAATGGATTTTCTTTCTAACATGGCCAAAATCAAATTTTGAGATCAAAAACCCCAAAGCTAAAAACTCTTCAGCATTAAATAAAACATTGCCTTTGAGGATTAATTCTTGCAATTTAAAAATCTGTTTAAATTCAAACCAGCTTCAAAACAAGTAAGTGAAAGACTGACATTTTGAAAGTCTTCCATCCTCTTCTTTTAACATAAAATTATGTAGTAAGGCCAGCTCAAGTCCTCTGTTTCTCAAAATCCACATTTTTACTTGCAATTACTACAAGTCCCTTCCAGGCACACAACCACTTAGAGGATGGGAAAACTGACTGTCACAGGGCTCTGCTTTCTGATGTTAGAGCATTAACCCTGAAACAACCAAAGCAGAAACCCTCCTAAACAGGATAATCTGAACTACAAACTCTTTTTCTTCCCCTCAAATTTCACTATTCCCTTTTTAGGTTAAATCTGCCTTTGAACCACAAACTACACTGACTTTCTCAGCATGTTGATATTTATAGATACATAACCTCATCTTACCCACTTAAATGCTAGGAAGGGAAGTTGCAGATCTATCCTCAAGTCTGAAGCCCATTCCTGTTCCTGGTATTTTAGAATTAAGAGGGACTTTGAAGGGTCACGTATTCCATCTAGCAGCCACAAGCAGGATCAGCTAAACCTATATGACTCTTGATAGACATTCACTAAAAATCCTGAAGATTTCTAATGGTGGAGACTCTACAACCTCCACCAGGCAAAGCTCCACACGTGTTCCCTTCATGCTGCACTCCAAGGCATTAAAGTGTGCTGAACTACTCATATCACTGAGCTCTGCAGCAAAAGTTCACCCAGGGACTTCGAAATTTAAAAATTTACATCCTGTTTGCAGAACTGATTGAAGCAATTAAGAGTCACAAATAATTAACTCTGTAAAGAAATGGCAGGTTTAGTACCTCTGTAAACTGCAACATGCATTCATCATTACTGTTTGCAGGGTTATGATAACAACAAATAAAATTACCATGTAAAGAGGCAGAGTTATTGCTGTTGTGGGAATATTAACTTCAGCATTAAACCAGTATCTTAATTGCAGCACTGCCTTAGAAGACAGATTTTCATTTACAAAGCATATTATAAATATAAATAATAAAAAGCTAGGCTAGATCACTTTAGCAATAACTCTGTAAACAAACAAAACTCTGGTTTAGCTACTTTCCAGTTTGCAAAATTTAATTGGTAATTTTATGAAGAGCAAAGTTACCACTGCAGAAAATATTTGTGACCAAAGGGAAACTTGTTATAATGCAATCTTAGTTCTTAAATGTTTTGCTAAATAAATTCATATACATTTCCCCAACAGAAATGAAAAATTTTTTTTTATTGTGAAATTCTGGAAGGATTTGCTATGAATAAACTAAACCTCTTAGGACAGATCACTCTTTTATAATGCTTTCCTTCTATAAGAAGACAATCTAAAACTTTCCCTCTGGGAGTTATTCTCTGTGCACTTCCCTCTCTCTGAGGCTTCCATTTATTCCTGCCATCTAGAAACATAAGCATTGTTATTTAACATTGTTTATGCTTCACAGCAAAGGGCAGACGGAAGAAATCGCTCAAGGGAAAAATCCCCAGCCCTGTGGGGTGAAAGGAACAAAGACTTAAATGCATACATCTAACAAACAGTACAAAGGGAACTCATCAGAACAGAAAGGTCTGAACTAGAACCACTTTGTTAACTCTTCTTCCACAACTTTGGTTAACAGGGAAGTTAGAAATTAAAAGTTAGTATCTGGTAACGACTTAGATGCCAATATAGTTACATTTGTTCAGTTAAATTGTTTTTCAGGTTTTTTTTTTTTTCTGTATCCAATCAAGTTTCTAACTGAATTTGAATATAAATTGAGTAATTTTGGACTAAAAATTCAATATACAGTTTTTAACCGTACAGACAGGTCATTGAACTCTGTGTTTTACTCCCCATATCCACGAACCTGGAGATCACCCTGGAAGAGGCACTAAAACAGACTGCTTCTGAAGGACTGCCTTGATGCTGACAAACATATATAGTTATTCATAAAACAGAGTTGAAAGGTTAAAAAGGAGAATATTCCTCAGCACCCCAATGAAAAAAATTTACATTAAAATGTAAAAATCTAGCTGCATCTGAAATTGAAAAAAAAATCAGGACAGTTGTAGCAGAAATTAGAAAGAAACTAATATTTGAGAGCTCAGTCAGCCATAAGCCCTGCAATATGTCTGTCACAACATTTCTTTCTGGATGCATCAAAACTCAGTGCTGAGGACTGGGGAAGTAAGTAATCTGCAGAATGTGGCTGGGTGGGAATAAACACACCAGGTTGAGTCAGAGTTCAGTTTCCCAGTTTCGGATCCTATGCAGCCAAAAAAAAAAAAAGAAAAAAGAAAAAAAAAAAAGAGAAAACTGTGTTTCTCAGATGTTCTGAGATTTCCAAATTTTCAACTAAATTACCTAAGAATTTCAAATCTCATTCAAACACTGTATATAAATTGCATACATGAAGAGGAACTTAAAATAAAGCAAAACAAATTTATAAAGGATATGAGGTATTGCAAAGAGCTGAGCGAAAACATGGAACGATGACCCCCAGGCAATCTGCCAGGGAGCAATGTATGTCATGATGAACTGCAACTTCTGCAGTAGGTCCCACAGCTGAAAAATAAAGGAAAAAAAGAAAAACATTGTCATTTTATATGCACTGAGATAATTTCTAAACTAGTATCTGAAAGAGACACTTAAAAACTGTGCCCTGGAATAAACATGAGATAAGTTATATTGTATTATTAACTTTCATATTAAGGTCTAAATTCAGTAAGGCATTAGAGTATATTCTTCATTCAAAATTTAAACTTGCAATGAGGTACATTTTTGACCACCATACTGAGGCAGCTCCCAGATTACCTTTCAGAAGTATGTCTGTTCTAATTAGAAAGTGGGAGAACAGGTTCTGATATTCACTGACTACATATGACCACAAGTCAGACGGATACAGGAGAGGAGACTCCGGGAGAAACTGGATAGAGTGAACAGAGAAAGTTCAATGTGTGACATGTGACTGTGCTCATGGAAATCAGACTAACTTCTCAAGAGCACAACATTCCCAGTTTTTGACTCAATGGGAGAAGTTATGATGTAAGCATATGCATGGCATTAATAATGAATTGTAGCTGCAGTTTCAAGACCACTGTCTCATAAAAAAAGTTGCATAAATATGAGCTTTTATTGTTGTGCAGTGCAAACTGCAAACCACAATGAATTTACTTTTGCTTCCTGTAAATTATGCTTGGTGCTTCAACAGTTTCTGATTCAAGAATAATGTGTACTTTTTCCCTGGAATACATTTCTCCCCCTCTGTCATTTCTCTTGGCATCAGGCCAAAGCAGATTCTTGTGTCTCATCTACTGCAGAGTGGGTTCCTGACAAACTGTCAGGAAAGATTTGGCCATCAATAGACATTAGTGCTCAACACACAGGGAAGTTGACAGTAAAATAGGAGTATATGCAATATTTCATGCTCATATAGCAAATATATGCTGAATTTCTTAGAGTAATTTTTTTTTTGAGTTAGTGAAAAACAAGACTCTGCCAACATCCTGAAAGACACTGAACTGTATCAACACTTGTACATTAAAATGCTTCCAGGGAATGTTCTCAAGCACTGATATTGTGCATATTTTTAAACTGCTAGAAAGGCATCTGGGAAGGTTCTGGTCTGACTCTTTCAAACAATCTCCAGGAATTCTTTTGAATGAAAATCCTCCCTGGTTCATTTCTAGGTGGCAACTCCATACCTGCACCTTGCATACAGACTGAGAGAGTTCATCAGCACAGACAAAAGCTCCTTAAGTCACCAGCCCCAAAGTCCCACTTGACCATCTGTATCCACAGTGGCAATGCACTTACAGGATGCTTCACTGAGCTTCCCCACAGATTGCAGTAAATAATTGCATATCAAATGTGAGGGAAGCAAGAATCACTTGTAGCATTGACCTGCTTTGGTCTTCGTGCTACAAAACCATCAGAGAGCAGCTGCTGACTCAGTATAACCAGTGTCACCCTAGCTCCAGCTACAACTAATAAACATTCCAGGTGAGATGCAAGCAGTGATTCACCCACTTTGTTTGTTTTGGCATGACTCAAATTAGGAGCAATACACAAAGTATAGATTACACTTACTTTGCACAGATATACTATTTAAAACCACCAAAGCCCTGATAAAAACAAGCTGTTCCAACCCTTCAATGCACAGCCTGATTACCCCTGCTGAGATAAACTCATATCTTGCTAACCTTGTTTTCTGTCAAAAATACTACATGGGACTTGCAGACTGCAGCATTAAAGTAAGCAAGTAAAACTGAACTGAAACTCAAATGGACATTTATGTATTTGAATCTTATTTAGCAGGTTGTGGTGTTGCTTTGTTTTACTTCAGTTTTATTTATCTGAAACACCACAATGAACAGCTGGAAGAAAAATTTTATCTGCAAAAAGATTTCAGTGAAGGGCTGGAAAAAGCTGATGACTTGCATTTGAAACTTCAAAAAATTAAAACTGCAGCACAACCCAGCAAAGTTCTGCCAGTTACAGATTGACAACACAGAGTCATAAATTACCCTAGCTGTGCTCAAAGCACAGAATTCATCAAAAGGTTTTCAAATCACAAAAAAACCTCAGGTTTTCCATCTGCTAGGAAACCAAATCCAGGAGGACACTCTTCTGGCTCTTTGTTCCAATATATAATTTTCATTTGTTCTTTAATATTTACACCTTGCAAAAGCTGGCCCATGAAGCCCAGGTTCCCTGTTGTATCTAACAAGTCCTACTGCTTCTGCACTCCCCACTGCTTGAACTTGCTGCTGTTTCTTCCAACACTTTCCTCTCAGCTAACACTGCCACAAGACAGGCAAAGGAGCTCATTTCCATTCGAGAACATGAAGCAAAATGCTTTAGTGAACCTCTCTTCATTTTTGAAAGCCTTACAACACTGCACTTAAAAGCCTGGAAATGTGTGATTTTCAAGCTACTGCCTTCATTAAGAGTTGTCAAGTGTCTCTTTTACCTCTTAAATCCCTGCTTCCAGGGCATGTTCTGCAAAATGCCTTCAGGGTAATATGCCATTAGCATTTTACATCTCTAACTATAATTGCTAAAGGTGATGTCATCCACCAACTACAACCCTGAGATTTAAAAAGGAGGACTTGGCTTTACATTTTCTCTTTTTTATTTTGCTAGAACGATCTAAGAAACTGTTTCTCCTTATCAGTTTCATCCAATTTGCAATATGCTTCCTCCTGTATCTGACAGGGAAACTCACAGAAAGAAACTGAAGCTGCTAAAAATTGCCTTTATAAATAGGGGAGACTGAGCCATTCTCTTATTTCAACTGCAACTAGCTTCATTTCAACCTTCAGTAATTTGAAGACATGAGCTAAAGAGGAAAACCTTCATCTCTTTTACATTGTCAGAAACAATACAGAATGAATTCGAAAGAGAAAAGGCAAAGCCCATCTGGGGCTGAGTCTCTTGAGGAAAGTAAAAGGCCACAGAAAGAACTTTTACAGGTGTATTGACAGCAACACACAAACTGGAAAAATCACATGGACCTGCTGAGGGATGGGGCACGGGACTTGGTGACAAAGGGCACGGGGAAGGGAGAAGTGCTCAATGCCTTCCTTGGCTTGGCTTTACTAGTGACCCATCAAGCCAGAGGCCCCTGAGAGCTGTGAGGAAGCATGGAGAAATTGAGACACTCTACATAGCAAAGGATTAGTTAAAGGCACATCAAACCACACTAGAAAAAACCCACTTCCATGGGACCTGATGGGACACCTCAGCCCTTCTGTGGTTCTGTGAAACACACAAATTATCCCCAGTAGAGTTCTGTTTGAATGAGGGTAAGGTGAACAGTACTAGATACAAAGAGGGAACATTCTAAAGTCAAGGTGAAAAAAAAAATAGTCTCTGGTGAATTTTAACCCTCTTTTTATAATCACTTCCTTAAGCATATATAAAAGATTAATTTTTATTTAAGACCTCTACATCCCAGTTTAGAATGATTTATAAAAGAACATTTTTATTAAGCCTTATTAGATCTTCAGTGTTTTCTACAGTTCAATAAGCAGAAACTATTATATGTTTATATACTATTTATAATATATAATTATATATTATGTAGGGGGCATAAAAGTTCTAATATTCCTAGATATATTTATGCATGTGACAGTTTTACACAGTAAACAGTTTTTCAAAGTCTTTGATAAAGACCTTAAATTATCAGCATGTCTGGTGAATTTAAACCAGCACTACCATCAAGTAAAAGTGCAGAACATGCATCCATCTTTCATGTTTATTTTATGTGGACACACATTTTACCTTAATCATCTTTAAGCCTTCTATGAGTTCTGAAGCCTCTACAGTTTTCTGGTGCACCAGTGAGTAATAAACAAAGCAAAAGCAAAGACTCATCTTCCCAGGATTTTCTTTAAATCTGGTTATTCTTACTTAAATTTTATGGAAATTAGTTAACATACATAAAAAATTAAAGATTTGTGGAGTCTGAAACATCACTAAAATTGTGCATTCTCTTCTCAGTTTGGTAGATTTTAATAAACTAGGCAGAGGTTAACACCTGAATTTAAATGACTCAGTGTGAGATGGAGACTATGCAATGCTCTCAGCTTCTGGCGGCCCTTCTATTTGTTTGGCATCTGCTGGGATTTTGTGTGGGCAGGCTTCTTGGCAACTCTGGGACTAAATAATGCATAAACATTAACATTTCCTGCTAAGTTTAAATTTTTCTAGGTTTTAAAAAACTGTGTATATAAATACACATAGGTTTTAAACCAAAATAATGGTCATATATATAAATATATATAGCTACATGCTCTACATGCAACACAAATTGAGATTAAAAAAGTTAAGTGCAGAAAGAAATTATTTAGTTTGAACAGGTATTCTTTATATTCCTCTTTAGATCCTGTGACCTTGAGATGATTTGAATGAAGACTCTGAGAGGAGTATTTACTTCTTCATGTTAAGCTAATTCTGATCAAGTGGAAACTCCAGCTTTCAGAATTAAATTCTAATATCTACTGGTATATTTTTATTTTCTTTTTGGTATGTCAATAAAAACGAATATACATCAAGAGTGAAAAGCTGTAAGTATGCATGTGTTTAAGGACATAAAATTAAACTTGCTAGAATAATTTTACTCTTGTTCATTGCTTTGCTTTGCAAATCATTGACTTTTGGGTTTTTATTTAACACCATTTGAAACAAACTTCACCTATGAAATCCTGCAAAACAAGATCTACTGGAAATACTAAAGGTTTTTACTGCTTATGTCTTAAGTCATTGTGACATTCTATGTTGTATTTGGACAGCTGTGTTTGAGCCTACAACAAATACTTTCCAGGATGTCTTTACCTGCACATGGTTACAGACACTTGAAGCCTTTACATTGTGGGCTTCAAAATCGTTGTCTAATGCAATACATACAAGAAAGAGAATGAAAATATAATCAGTCCAAGTGTCTGATATCAAACCTTGGAGGAAAGAATATATTCCTCAAGCACAACATTCAGCACTTAAGAATGACACTGTACAAAACAGGCATGTGTTAAGCAGTTTGAGCAGCAAGCCTTGAAAGCCTT